ATAATAAATATACATCCATTATTTATTTTAGTTCTGACGTGGCTCCTCAATCCAAACATTTAGATTGAGAAACCACCTTTTTTACTTTAAAAGTACCTACTACATTTTTTTTTTAATTTACTGCTAAATAATATTAATTTCATTAAGATTTATAAAGTGGCTCCTCAATCCAAACGTACACGCCTCGTAGAATGAAATGGTAATTGTAAAAACTTTCAGGAAAAATATATTTTTTTTGTCTTTGTTATTTTATTTTGACGTAGATGATCCGTAAAGGAAAGCCAATTTTAAAGCTTTACTGTTTTAACAAGCCTTTAATTGGATTAACCAAATTCAAGATTCGAGGTCCGTGTGGTGACGATTAAGAATACAGAGTGTCACCACATCTATTGATCCTGTGGGTATTGTACGAGCCGACTAAGGTAAAAAAACTACGCAGGACACCAGCACTGCAGAGAGTAAGAAAACTTTACACAAACCTTATACCAACCCGTGTGGCCAGCGTGGTATAGTAGGCCAAAACCTCCTTTCTAAGGAGAGGCTTATTTCCAACAGTGGACTGTTAAAGGCTGTTCATGAAATTCACGATATTAAAAATTTAAGAAGTTAGTAAAAAGATAACGTTAGCGTAATTTAGTATTACACACTTACCATTTTACTCTCGTCATTTTGTTATAAATTTAGTATTGTAATATCCTATATCCTACTAGTATATTCCTATTATTCAATTATTTAACAGCGCTTGTAACAGTTATTTTTTCATTATATTTGTATTGCGTACGGAGTTGTAAACAGTGACACCTGTTGCCCCGCGTCGCATTTATTGATTGATACGAAAAAATTGTAACTATAGTATTGATGTCTTTTCGTCCGCCATCGGACCACTAGATCGCGTGTTTTTTTTTGGTAAGTCGTAGTAATAATTTATCCTGTCAAATTGTATTGGTGTTAAAAGTGTCCTGTTATGGTAGGAAGCGGGTTACTGTTGAATTGAGTCGTGTTAACCTCGATGATAATTTGAATGACAATTTAAAATGATAAAGAAGGGATTCCTTCTAGAAATTTCACAAACCGAGCATATATAAGTCCGGCTTTCAGCCGCAGGGGACACTCTGGTGATTCTAGTCTTCCGATCTTAAGTAGTATTTTGTTTGTCTGGTAATTAATTTTTAGTAAATTCTTTGTCCTAAGTACCCACGTTAGTGGTAAGTTAATCTTAATTTTTTGTAGTCATTTGTTTCTGGAACCTGAACGATTATATGAGTGCTAATCCATTCGTAGGGCTCCAGATTTGGGGTCAAGATAAACCTCTCAGACGGCGTGCTCTTTTGTTTGTGGCCTTCTTGAGCGTAATCGAGCTACTCAGTACCCTCTGGTAAACTGGCATTCACGCGGCTCACCAAGCAAGCGGTCAGCCTCATTCAAGGGTTACGTAATTCTTGTTAATGTATAAATATAAATATTGAACCTTCCATTATACCTAATATAAATAGCCGACTCGGGCTGGTGTGGAAGTGGCCTGCTGGATTGATGACGAGGAGGCTCCGAGCAGCATCGGCTCGGCCTTGACGCGCGCCGCTGCGGGATTTTTTTATATACCCACTATTTTATGATTTTTTTTAAATTGTAACTGTATTTAGTTGAAATATACATGTATGTATGACTGAGGTGTAACTTGTCTTTCTCTGAGGAGTCCCTTAGGTTGCCCACACGCACACCCTTCTGTTTTCGACAAGGCGCCCTGAGGTAATCTCGTGTATTTCTCCGCTGGGTAAGCCGGTGAGTAGTCCGCCTGACACGTATAGCGGTTACACGCTAAACCATAAAAAAATATAGTATCTTACCATTTTATTCTCGTTCATACGGGATATCAATGACGAGACAGTAAAACTTAGAGCTATTATTCTGGTTACGCAAATAAAATAAAGTTATGGTAATCAGATTTCACGACTTAAAATGCACAAGAAAAATTTAGTCGTCCTGATCTTCATTACCAATAAATCTATGGCTTCAGAATTACTACTGTCATAAGTCAGAGATTCGTAGAAGGCATGATAGAAAACGGGGATCGCTTCCGATCTACACAAGCTCATAAGGTCGTCGTGTAAAGCCTTACTTAGTGGCAAAGGTTCCCTATAAGCGACTCAATTGAAAATCTCACATCTTTTGTAGTATTTACACTGTTCGACATTAATTTGAGAATACTCAACATAAAAATGATATTGAAAGCGTAGAATCGATGGCTATGAATGTAAAACATTACCTTAGACCAAATTATTTCCTTCTTAATTATTTGCCCAGTTCTTAATTTTTATCAACACACTGAAAAGAACTCACTTTATACTCATTTCCTTCACAATATATTTTTCGCCGTTGACTTTAGCATTCATAATGATTGCATACATCTGTTCGGGTGTATATCATGCCTACAACCCGTACATGGAATCGCCTTCACTCTGGCCATGGCCTGTTTCGAAAAACCTATGTATTAAATTTATTAGAAGTTTCTAAGAAGCAAAAATGTATAAAGCAAATATAAATCTGTTTTTGTTCTGTCCTGCACAACCATCTGAATAAGAAGAAATGTTTTTAATACCTCTTTCCTTCTCACTTAAGAAAAATTGCCATAGCCAGCTTCCTATTTCTATTGCTCCTCTTTTTGCAATTGTGTGGTGCCAGACATAGTAGTGACTTTTTATAAAAAATAGTAAAGTTTTAAATAGAATATTTCCTCTATAATGAAATATTCCAACTGCAGATTGTGGAATATTTAATACCTTCTCTTTTTTTTTAACTTGACGTACTCGGTCTTTGCTTCTTTGGTGTTTGTCATACTTATCTTGCAATGTCGCTTGTCAAACAGAATCAGCTTATCCGTAAAGACTGCAAGTGGAGCATTGGTCTTTTTTTGGTTTTTTTTTTTTAATAACGCTAATGGTGTGTTTGTGGCACATTAATACAAAAATCTTTACACAGTTCCGGGAATGCAGACCTTACGTCGACACTCTGGATGGTAGTATCTAGTTATTTTCATCATCCTGCAACTAATAAAATTAGCTATCAAATGTTTTTATTTTAAGTTTTTATGCCAATAAATTAAACGAGACTGTTGTTTACTTCGGAAGATATAAAAACAGCTGACCTGTTTTTTTTTTTCCCCAGATATACCTGTTATTTCCATTGCGGACTCGTGGTAACACCAATGTTACTAACAGGATTTATTTTCTTGATTGTCATACTGTTAATATTTCCTCACCATTTATCATTGGATTAAGAGTAATAAAAACGATAAAAACTCAATAGGGTTAAATAAATGATGGATTCAAACTTAAACAAAAAAACAGTGTAGGTGTTGGGATGCGTCATTAAACGCGCCATGTGCGGTGAAAATTTTCGATTTATTATTTTTACATTATATTACATCCTAAATATTACCAGACAAATGCAATTACAGATAAAATACACACTTACCTATTTGAGAGAGTTTAAGGGTATTGGCAAACGTGTATGAATAAAAGCAAGTGTATTTTTTTTAAATTACTTTTATTACTTCAATACAATAAACATTTCTAAACAAAGCTTACATATCAAAAAATACACCGCTGACTGAATAACTTTGATTTTATGAAATTTAATAATACAATAGAATCAGATTTAAACCATTATTTACTGAAGAACATATCGCTAAAACCCGACTTTCGACTTCGGGGTAAAAGAAAATCCCGCGTTAGTCCATACTCTTGATATTTCGGGGTACACAAAGAAAAAGTAACCGGGCGACTATTCAGGTACAGCCAGACAAACCGACACCAACATTTTATACTAGGCTAACTCACCAAATTGCTTAAAATGTGTTGTTTTTAATGTAAAAAAAGCGTCCAGAAATATACAAATATAGGTACTAAGGTAAGTAAAGGCATTTTTTGAAATCAGTCTATTTAAATTACGCTAACTGTTAACATATCAGCCGATTGTGCACGGGAAGGGGTCATGTTAAGGTCCATGTAACAGTACGCTACCACTAAGAAAGTTTAATGTTTTCGTGTATACTGGTTCTTTATAAAAATAAATGGACTACTTAGCGAATTATTTAATAAGTACCGATGTAAAAACGTGTGTTACTTAGTCTATTGATAATACCTGATCTATTTCTAATATTTTTTTATGGCTTTCACAATTGATGAACCTATTCAACAGCATGATTGTTCTATATCCAGTTCTGCAAGCTAATACATTGTCAATAGTATTACTAATAAGCTATAAATTTAAACGACTTAGGGGCTCCTAATACTTCACGTAATATTTATTCAACAAAGGACTTCAATGATATTCATTGTACCAAGTAACCCTTGTTTTTAGTCGTCACTAATGATACTTGTAATAGTATTGATAATATCCCCGTATGTTAATTATTGGATTTTTTGGAAAAATCATAACGTTTAAACGATACTTTAGGGCTTATTTCTTATCAAGATACCTAATATAGAACACTCACAATTAATCAACTACCACAATAACACAGATTCAGTATCGGCGAGACAGTAGTGTTGCCCCAGAGAGTACCCTGTATTAGAATTTCCTCGCCTGCAACGTTCTAGGATAGTGATTATTTTGAAGCATCGACCGCAAAAAATTATATACGTAGATCTAAAAAAGGATTGATATGTGTCTCAAATGTCTTAAATTTGAATTAAGAAGAGAAAACGTTTGTGTAACAAAGGATTACGAGTATAGTAAACCACGTCAAAAAGAAAGGCTAAAGTAGCAGCAAGCAGTAAAGTCAATTGTCGCCTGCAATGCTAATGGCAAGAAGTTTGTATTGGCCTGATTGTAATCACGCGAAACAATGGCAAATCATAGCGTATCTTAATTAATATAAAAGTTTTCACGTTTTTCCCTTAATAAGCCTCTACTGTACAGTACACTTTTATTAGTTAGCTTAGTATGAATTGCTGGTGTCGAAATATCTAGTTACAAATGGACATATAAAACAGATTTTTCTATTCGTGAGGCTCAAATAAAACTTTAACAAGTGATTTTAGATTTACTGCGGTACCACTGGTTAGTACAATGAAACCGACAGAAATAAAAAATACAGACCTCCAAATTCGCCATTTTAAGGCCCCATAGCCTGGTCTCTCATATTCCACAAATAGTGTTATAATATTGGGAAAAATTATGGCCATGTTTGCTAAACACAAACAGCCAATCTGAAATCATGAATTACAGTATTTGAAAGAAGAATGATATCTTATTTTTTTTACTTATAAATAAAATTAGTGTCTGTTTTTAATGACAAAATAATAGGTTTTTTTCTTGTTCCCACGGTTATTTGGAAGATACCTAAGCTTAAAAACCAGTTAAAAAATTTTTGTATGTCTGTCTGTTTGTTCAGGTAATCTTTAAAACGGCTGGACTAATTTTGATAATATTTTATTTTGGCAATTTTTCCGCAACGTGTCGGCCGATTTTAATGAATCTTTTTTTGTATATTTCGTAAGTATGAGAATAAGTCGTAAGGACAATCGTACGGAATTGCGCCGGTCAGCAAGTATAACATAAAAGTCAGTTATAAAAGACCTAAATTTAAAATACCCCACGACGGACAAGTTTTTTCAACAGGGTGGACGGATATTTTTTTAGTTTCCACTTAGAAACTTCCATAAAATTTCATTCCATTGAATTTTAGTTGGGCTTCTGTAATGTTTTCACTCACAGAGACCTAAACAGATTATTCTATGGATTCAAGAATGCAGATAAAATACTTTACTCTTTTAATAAATGAATGTATGTCATACTTAAAACAAAAAATCCAAAATTAAATATTTAAGTACACAAATATTTGCACTGCAGAAATCTGATCCGATATCTTTAAAGTGGCAGTCAAATCTCTAAGCTCAGTACATTCAATAATATGTGCACTCTTATTTCTAGACTCCGAACCCGTATTTTAAGAGGTGTCTCAGTCGTGAATCTAATTTTAAAACTGTTTTTAAGTATAGAAACTTAAAAACAGTTAACAGTTAACTAGTTAGTTTAGTTTTAATAGTTTTAAGATTCGATTCACAGGGAAGCTATAAAATCTTGAGGAGTCTTAAGGAGTGAAATCTTTCGCAATTCGTTTCGAGTTTAGGGGAAATTAAATTGTTTTACGATGATACTTTTTTGATAACTATGTCACCTTCATAATTCATGTAAAATTTTACTTAAATTCACATTCAATTACTTGTTTCAATTAAAATCAACTTTAATAATAATATTTCTTTCAAAATAAAATTTTCAAATAGCTGCGGGATAATAATAATGATAATAATAATTTCTTTTGTAACATATTTAAAAATGTAATTAATATGTAAATATAATTTAATAAAGATAATATAATAATAATATTATTATGATGCTTAACTTTTGATCTGCACTTAAAACTAATTTCAGAAAATCAGATTTCAACCGATACTTGAGACCGTTTTTTAAAGTACGGGCCTAATAACACTGCATTTAACAGTCCATTCATGTTACAAGCATGCGCTTAACGCCAAAAGCTAAGTTAGGTAAAATGCAGCTGGAAACTAGACGTTCACTAATGATAGATAGCAGTTAGCTATAGTAGTAGTAAGATTAATGTACTTACCAACCCCATTAAAGCTGTTATACTCGGGAATATGATACCGACGGTACCAATCATAGTAACAAACAACACTCGAAAAATTCTTTCCCAAAAGATTAACTTATTCTGGTTTAACCTGCTCTTTATGTAATACCAGCAAAGATTGAAAGGTACCCAGAAATTGAGGCCGTGAGTTATATACAGCATTGTACAAATGCCAGCTTTGAACATTATGGGCAGCCTGCAAATAGAAACATAAATGTATATATTTATTTTGCAGAAAATCATATGATATTCCAATTCGGGCTTTTGTAAAAGAGTCTATGCACTAACACATAGCCAGTTGCCAGAGGGTAACCCAAGGAGCAAATACAAAGGTCCGGATGTCTTAATAACAGCAGTTCCCGTATCCCTCCTATTACAGGCGCAGAGTGGCACACCATGTGGTTTTAGTCGGTCCGTTTCCGACAACCACCCCGACGCAAACCCCGGTAGGGAGACGGCCCGTTCCACACGTAAAAAAAAATGGAGCAAATACAAAAAGGAGGTATTGTTCCTTACTTAACTTTTTTCCACCTACAAAACAATACTCCTCGCAAAAACGCGTAAATAAATAAAATACTACGCATAAACCTACTCGCATCCTTCTATATCGATATTGCTAAGTAGTTTAGCTATCTCACACTAGGTGCAGGATGTAAGGGGATGTATGGGAAGGTGTTATACCTGTGGACATTTGCCGGATTTTGAATGAAAATATGGTTTAATAATTTAATTGTTATTTATTAGCCGTAAAGTATTACAAATGTTGTTCCAGGATTAGTTAACACTTAAAAATTAGCAGTCTTTAGTTTTGTACGAATTATGTTGATTAAAATAAACCAGTTTTTTTTAAATCACTAAATTTGTCCACAGGTACATCTTATGATTGTACCTCTGGACAGAAATACTTGTACCTATGGACGGCAATGTACCTATGGACAGATCACTTATCCTTACATAATAATCCTATAAAAATCAGCAAAAATAAATAGAATATCTTTATAAATCAACTTTAACATTAAAGAATCAATTATTCTTTTTGGTTTTGGCATCTAAATAATTTTGATATAGTTCTAAGGCAGAATCATCAGAGGCATCTGAATAACCATCATCTAAAATATAACACTTTTGATATAAGAAGTCTGACTCATCATCTGATTCAAAATTATCTAAATGTGATCTTGATACACATTTCTGGTGATATTTCAAATCGCATTGAGAGCAATTGAGCAGTTTGTAAACATTTTCATGTCTTTTACATCCCATACACATGGCTTAGGGTAACTGGTCATCTTGAAGAATTGTGACCCTTTTTTCTGCAGATTGAATTTTTATTTTTATCTAAATATTCTGCAAGCTGTTTTTCTTCTTCCTCATCAAATACTTTCTTCACGTCATTTCTCAAAATAACTACCCTGTTCTCGCTCAGATCATTCTCCTTATTCATGTGAAGGTATTTAAATATCGTAGATTTTGGTATTTTATATTTTTCTGCAACTTTTCGCAATGAACATCCACTAATTGCCTCTTTAATTGCCTCAGATAACGTCTCTGAACACACCTACGGCGCGTTTTTCCGTCGAGACACTGAAAAATGAAAAAAAATTTGTACCTGTGGACAGTCCATAGGTACATACACTTCGATGTCCACAGGTACAAATCAGACAATACAACCTAAAAATCTATTACCGGCATGATAGGTACTAGTTTACACCGTTATACCGATGTAAATGGATTGTTAACTACATGTACTACAGTATGACTAAAAATAATCATCTATATTCTGCATATGTTCACAAAAAAATAGGACGAAAAAGAGACAAATACTTACTTTTTTGAGCGAAAACCCTTAACGGTCTGTCACCGGTCACACAACAAAAGATACAAAATGGCAGCAAGTCAACGTTGCTAAAAACGTTGTAACGTTGTAAAAATACTTTACGGATGCGTTAAATTCGTTAAATTTCTGTGTTTATTTTTTGAAATATCAATGATGTCCACAGGTAAAACCGTTCATAGGTACAACACCTTCCCCTACTCGAATTTCCCGAGATAAAATCTTGTTTTCGGCCTGAATTTCTTCGGATTCTTTCCTTCACTGCTTTTCTAGAACTATTTAAATAAATTAAATCTACTACTAATTATTTACAAAGGAAATGAGATGTCATCCATGGCACCAGAACATCTGTCCGGGTAGCTTTAACAGGAGAAAATATAACACTCATTGAACTAATATGCATTATATGCATCAACAAGTGGCATCCATCTAGTATTATTTGCTATAAATTAATTTGCTAACTTCAGTACATGGGAAGAAAAATTGTTGTGACGGTTTTATCACATTAACAAAAGATAAAATAAATATTTAAGGCAGTTCCGTTTGTTTGTAAGCTTGGCCAACTCGACTGTGAAATATCAAAACCCAGTATCTTGCAAAACTAAACTTTACAGTAAGCACCATTTTCATAAAATCTTGCAGTTACCAACAAATTTCATGTCATGTTTGTGTAATTATTTTAAGGTTAGGACATAAAAAACCTCAGAATACAAAAACCTTGACAATATTATACACTAAAGCTTACCTTACATTTCACCATGTTAATCTTTTAAAGCACTCATAATTATTGATTGATGATTTTTACTCTTTTTCTTAACAACAACATGAGCGTGCAACGACCGTCATCTCACTTACTAAAGTTGAGCGAGAGTTTTGACGTTTATTTCAACCATTACATTGACCTTGTTTCTACATAAACACTTTTGTAACCTATTAACTGCATACAATTACTAGGTTTATAAAATGGTTGAGGTTAGGTACTATGTTTTAAGCTTTTAATTGTTTCACTTTGAAAACTTTTGTTTTAGAAACTAGGTTTTCAATTTTATTTAACTTCGTTTATTTCTCGGAGTTTTTGATATCCTAGTATGTGGAGAGGGTGGTCTATAATGTCGAAAAATGCAAAAACACTCGTTTTAAAAAAAGTGTTAAATACTAGGTTTTGAAATTGAACGAACTGTCTATGCACATAAAATAAATTGTACTACCCCGAATTGGATCCGGTTCCTAACATTAGGTTACTGTTTTGTAAGATATAAAAAGATTATTATGTTACGCAAAAGTGATGGAAAGGTCTTCTGAATATTTATGAGTAGACATCCAATATTTCTAAACTAATTAATGCCTTCTGTCTATAGTTACGAAAAAGTCTTTTTTTTTGATAAATAACACTAAAATATCTCGCTAAAAAAAACAATCATACGTTCGAATCAGTAGATTGTTGAGGCACTAGTGATTGACCAATAATAAAGTTGAACTGTCAAAAGAAAATAACAGAATGGTAATTCTAAGTATGGAGAGTACAAAAATGTCTTACTAACACATTATGACCATAATATAATATTCGTTACATATTACATTGGTATTGGATTACATGCCATCTGTGTTGTAGTTTTACGACAGAACTTGAATTCAGCAATTACTTTCAATTTCATCCTGTAAGGACTAAGCTTATACATAAATTAAATTATGCTTACGTCGTCATTGGAAAATTGATTGTAAATGGTGCTTCAGCCTTGTCCAAGAAGGCGGCATAACCAAAGAAAGATGTAGCTGTTGTACATAATATGATAGAAAAGTGTCCTGAAAGATAAGGTTAAAATGTTATTTAAACTGTATAATCACAATAAACCCGTGTGGTGACAGATAAATAATACGGGAGCGAAACCACCCCTATTCATCCTGTGGCTGTCATAAGAGCCGATTAAGCGAACAAACTACGCAGGACAACAGCACTGCAAAGAGAAGGAATACTTGACACACAAACCCTGTACCAACCCGTCTGGCTGGAATAGTAGACCAATACCTCCTTTTAAGGAGGCGCCTGTGTCCAGCAATGGACTATTAACGGCTGGCGATGTGTGTGATGTGAATTATAAATATTATAAGGTCAAGGAAAAAGTTTCTTCGTATTTTATATAAAAATAAAGTGAAAATTAAAATAAAGTTAAATAAAGTTTAATTATGAGAAATTCAAAGTTTAATTTCATGTATGTTCGTTTAAGTTTCTTCGTATTTTATATAAAAATAAAGTGAAAATTAAAATAAAGTTAAATAAAGTTTAATTATGAGAAATTCAAAGTTTAATTTCATGTATGTTAATTATAACCCACCCGTGTGGCTGGCGTGCTGTAGTAGGCGAAAACCTACTTTCTAAGGAGAGGCCTATATCCTGCAGTGGACTGTTGTGAGCTGTTGGTGATGATGATGATTATGATAATATATATTTATATGTGCTATTTGTACATGTGGCCACGTTATTCGGTGACGGTGCTGTCGAAATCTTGGGACTTAAGATTAAAAATATTTATAGTTCATGAATGAATTACATCTGCTGCTGAAACTATAATACGAATTTAATTATTTATAGATAAAATAATTCGATTATGTACATCTAATATAATCGAAAATTATTTAAGATCATTTGATGGGATTATTTAAGAATCCAATACAATACGAGTATTATTGAAATCAGAATATTCATAACTTCAATATCATTGATGACCAATAGATTCCAATGTAATCAATGGTGTATTAAGTTCATCTGCCTATCAGGACTATGGTGAAAGCATTTACACCTCCCAACCACGCTTATCTTAATTGTTGCTAATTGGCCAAAGATGTGTATGGTTCTTTCTCGTCGTTCTTTCTCAATTTATTGCTAGCCATTGTTGGTAGAGAGCCGAATCGATCACCATAAACACAACATCACCTAATGGCGTGTTAACTCGGGTTTCGCTACAGTCTGTGATGCTTGCCTACCCTCTGACCATGATCTTTTTCGTTTATATTGTAGGTGGTCCATTTTTCATCACCAGTGATCACCTTATTGGGTGTTAACCCATAACCCCAGGTTTCGCTAAGGTCTTTGGTGCTTGACTACTACCCTCTGACTATGATCTCTTTTAATCTTATTTTAGGTGATCCATTTTTAATAATCAGTGATTAAGTAATTTATCGCGTGTTAAACCGAGTTTCGCTACAGTCTGTGATGCTTGACTACCCTCTGACTATGATCTTTTTTGTTCTTATTGTAGGTGATCCAGTTTTCATCACTAGTGATCACCTTATTGCGTGTTAACCCGGGTTTTGCTGCAGTCTGTGGTGGATGACTGACTACCCTCTGACTATGATATTTTTCGTTCTTATTTTAGGTGATCAATTTTTTCATCTGCTGTGTACTTTCGATAGCCCGTTGCGTAGATAAAAATAGACGTAAGACTGTACATCGTAAACTCGTATAATTAATTTAAAGAAAAACATACATTTTAAACATGTTTAACGTGCGATTGTTAGAAAACTCTAAATGGGTTCAACACCATCTATGAATGTCTCATCTCACATGCCCACTTAACTCCTCATCTCAACCGAAGACACCATTTACTCTACAAGCACACACCTGTTACAACGGCACACCTAATTGTAACTGTCCATCAATAACTTCTACCGACACGATCAAATACCTGGGCCTCAATTCTGCTATTACGCCAAGCCAGTGTCATACCACTGACACGCTATTGAGATGCCATCGAGTAGCCATTGGCATCGGTATGAATATCGGTAGTTGAAAATATATTACGTTTTTTGAGGAAATTATTTATTTGTTTTTATTATAATAAATTATTAAAAGAAAGAAATAAATTAAAATAACTTTAAAAAATAATAATTAAAGAATAAAGAAATAAATAAATGAAAATAAATTATTAAAATAAATAAATAAATTAAAATAAATAAATTAATTAAATGAATTATTAAAAAAAGAAATAATTTATTAAAATAAAAATAAAAAAATATTTAAATAAATAAGTCATTTCCTTATAATTTGAAAATATATTACGTTTTTAGAGGAAATGATTTTTTTTTTTATTTTTTTTATTTAAAAATTTATTTGTATCTTTTTTTATAATTTTTATATTTTATTCTTTAATAATTTATTTGATTTTTTAATTTCTTTTAATAATTTATTATAATAAAAACAAATAAATCATTTCCTAAAAAAAACGTAATATATTTTCAACTACCGATATTTATACCGATGCCAATGGCTACTCGATGGCATCTCAATAGCGTGTCAGTGGTATGACACTGGCTTCTCGTAAACATAAAATAGCAGAATTGAGGCCCTGGGTGTCATACTTAATAAGTATCTCTATTTTAAAACACACATTACACACTTAGCAAATCGAGCACTAAAACTCATTTTCCGGTCCGGGTCCGTGTGGTGACGGATTAAGAATACCTATTCATCCCGTGGGTGTCGTAAGAGGCGACTAAGGGAGCGAACTACGCAGGACAACAGCACTGCAGAGAGAATAAAAACTTGACACAAACCCTTTTTTTTTTTTTTTAACGTGTGGAAATCCCCTCGGACCGTCACCCCACCGGGGTTTGCGGCGGGGTGGTGTGTCGCACTCGGACCGACTAAAACCACACGGTGTGCCACTCTGCGCCTGTAACAGGAGGGATCCGGGAACAGCTGTTATTAAGACATCCGGACCCCTCCTAGCGCCAGCCCGCTCCTGGTGCGGGCTCCGTCTCAAAACTTTTTCCTCTCTTTAGGCGACGTCCGGCACACGCGGACGCCGCCCCCTCGCGGCTGGCCAAACTAATGCGGGTGGAGGGGAAACCCACCCCGTCCACCCGCGGCCACACTCAGGGCGGCATGAGGCGGTGATAGGCGCGCCTCCGCCGCCCGGTTCGCCGGCGGCGGAGGGGTCCCGTGCTGCCGCCCTGCCCACTCGGCGATGGCCGGCTGGAGAGCCTCCACGGCCCTACCCTCTGAGGGCGCCAGAGGCGTGCCCTATTCTGGGCGGTCAGAGCCGCCGCCCACACCGGTGCACCGTATAGTGCCATTGACCGGACAACCCCCGTGTACAGCCGTCTTGTCGCGACGCTGGGTCCACCCAAATTGGGCAAAAGTCGCCCTAGGGCAGTCGCAGCGCCGACCAGCTTTGGAGCAAGCTGTCGGAAGTGCTCGTCGAAGAGCCACCTCCCAAGGATTAGGCCCAGATATTTCATCTGGGCCCGAACCGGTACGAAGACCGAGTTGACCACGATTGAGGCGCCAGGGGGTGGACCACGACGGGGCCCATGAAATAACAGGGCCTCCGTCTTATCTAGGGCCACCCGTAAGCCCAGCGCCTCAATGCGCCCGACCACCAGGGAGACTCCCCTTGTGGCCAGGCGCGCCGCCTCTTGGAAGTTCGCCCCCTTTTTTTTTTTGGGCTGTCACCAGAGTGTCATCTGCGTAACAAATTACACCCAGTCCGGGGGGGAAATCGGCTCGAAGGGCTCAGTCGTACCCTATGTTCCACAAGAGGGGTCCAAGAACAGACCCCTGTGGAACACCGCACGACATGGGCCGACACCTCAAATTACCCTCTCGGTCCTCGTACACGACGGTACGCTCCTCTAAATAGTCTGCCACTAGCCGCCTCAGGTACTTTCGCACCCCATGATAGTGGAGTGCTTCCCTGATGCAGCTGAATGGCAGACTATTGAATGCGTTGGCGATGTCCAATGACACCGCCAACAGCACGCCGCCACAGCTCACGGCCTCTTCGGTCACGGCCCTCAGGCGCAAAATAGCGTCGACTGTCGAACGCCCCGCCCGAAAATCAAATTGGGCGTCCGACAGATCGGGGCCCACCTCGGAACATGACACAAACCCTATACCAACCCGTCTGGCCAGCGTGGTATAGTAGGCTCAAACTTCCTTTCTAAGGAGAGGCCTATGTCCAGCAGTGGATTGTTAAAGGCTGTTGATGTGATGATGTGAAACTCATTTTTAAAACACTTCTAACATTTCTAATCCTCACATCGACTGGCCTGTTGATCTAGTGATTAGTGAACATGACTGCTACACCAAAGGTTGTGGGTTCGATTCCCACCCAGGACAAATAATTGTGTGATGAGCACGGTCATTTGCTCTATGTCTGGGTGTACTTTATCTATAATATGTATGTGTTTAGAAATATATATGTATGTCTATCAGCAGCGGAGAACTTCATGACATCAAAAACCTTTAATAAGTATATAATCCATAGATTCACACACATGCATAGACATTACGCACACACGCATACACATGCACTCTCACACAGTCGCACGTGCACACAAGCAAACACACCAATTAATGTTATTTATAGTCCAGCCGCTCAAAGAATGCGTGTCTGACACCTGTCAATTCGTCATGACTAGTGATGTACAATAAATAACATTGATTATATTTAGTAACGTTATTTATTGCATTCATTATGCATATTTATTCAATTTAATTTATATGTTGTTATTTTTTATAGGAATAATATTTCAATATATTCAATAAATATTCACGATGTAAATAATTTTTTAATGAATCAATTAATTGAATTGAATCGTAATTTCTGAATGTAACGAAGGGAATAAAAATGAAAATGCTTTATTTATTGGAAAATGATTATTAAGATATATATAGTTTTAAGCCTTAAAACTATACCTATATTTCATAATATGCGACGGCGGAGCCTCCCGCTCCGCCGTCTCCTTCGCGAGCATAACATGCTCGCAGAAGGAGACGGCAGAGTTCCACGCACTCTCGCTCC